TGCTGAGATCTGAACTTGGAAGAGCATCAAATGCTCTAATTGCTGAGCCATCTTTCCAGCAAAGAATTATATTAACTTTAAGATAATAAAATGAACGACGAGAATTTCTGTTAAATATAAATTGTACAACTGACCCACGGTTCAGAATGCATAGCTCATGACTAAGAGGGCTTAAAGCCAGGCTGAGTGTAATACTTATTACTAAGATTATGAGAAATTGTCTTAATCTGTTCTATGGAATTTAAATGCCCTTACTGTACGCTGTGCGTGCGTACGTACGTACGTACACACACACACACACGTACACACACTCTTTAGATTTTACGTGTATAAATGTTGGCCAGCTAATGTATGTATATGCACCATGTGCATGCCCAGTGCCCACAAAAGTCAGGTTAGAAGAGAAGGTGCATCCCCGGCACTGGAGTCATAGATGGTTATAAGCAGAGTATTGGGATTTGAGCCTACGGGTCCTCTGCAAAAACAAAGGTGATCTTAAACTCTGAGCAATTGCTCCAGCCCATTACATATATTTTAATGAGAAATAAAAGAATGGTTGGGTTTTTCTTAAAGCCAGAGAAAATTTACACTTTCTTGAAAAACACAGAGACAGCTACATCAATTCAAAAGACCAAAGTCCAAAAACAGCCAACAGCCAAAAAGTTGACAGATTTCAAGTCAGTCTGGAGGGGTGAAGCCTTAAGTCACTTGTTAAGAATCTATTTTTCTGGTTTTGAGTTTTGTTTTGTTTTGTTTGAGGTGGGGGGGGGGGACTTGTATAGAGTGCATATATGTGTGGAAGCCAGGGGGCAACACTGGGTGACACTCAGAATCAGTCTACCACTTTTCTGAGATGGTACTGCACTGGTCTTGACAATCAGACTAGGATGGCTGGCACCAAGCTCTAGGGATTTAGTTATCTCTACTTGCCCAACCCAGCCTGAGTACTGGGGATCAAACTCACATTCTCATGCTTGTGCAGAAAGCACATTAACTTACCTATCTATCTATCCAGATGGGAAAAGTTCTTGTATTTACCTAAAATAGTGGTCCTTATCCCCATCTGCCATAAAAATCATATGAGGAATTAATGTATAACCATGTCCTGGTCCTGGTCATGCCCTAGAGATTCTAACCTAGTTGGTAGGTCAGCAATGAGGTTCAGACATTAGTGTCTTTAAAACCCTCCAGGTAATTCTAATCTGTGGCCAGGGCTGAGAACCCCATGTGAGTTCACCATCATTTTCATGAACAAAAGTTGAGTGAACAGTTAGGATGACTTTCTGGAACTGATATAGGCAGAGATCAATAACTGATGTAAAACATAACAACAGAGAAAAATGGGCTAATATTATCTAAATAGACTGCACTGTGACTACTAAAGCTTGTTTATTGGTAGGCAGGAATTCTTAAGAGCTTAGTGCTAGGGCTGGGGATTCCCAGGGCCTCATGCTTACCGAACAAGTGCTAAGCCACAACCAAAAGTGAAGACAAGATTCAAAAAATAAGGAAACATACAACTTTTCTCTTACTTTTTTTAGGAAGAAGAGGGAAACAACAGATCGTGCTTATATTGTCTATGTTGGTCTCCAACTCTGTACTTTAGCCATGGCCTTACCTCTGCCTCCCAAGTTGTTAAGACTACAAGTGTCACCACATCCAACAAAAAAGAATATTTATAATTTGGAAAAGGGAAAGTATTTTTGAAAATTATATACAATCTAAAAGCAATAAAAGGAAAAAACGGATGTTTACATACAACCTGAAAATATATACCTGACAAAATATGTAACAGTCACACTGTACTTGATAAAAAGTGGAACTTACTTGATAAAAAGAGAGAAAGCTGTCTTCTGAAAGTCTTAAACTTTTAATACATAAAGAATAATAAGCTAGAGCTCAGTGGTAGGACACCTGCCTAACTTGTGAATACCTAGGATAGATCCCTTGTACTAAGCAGGCAAGCAGACACACACACACATGCACTTGCATGCATACACATATGTAAAATAATCTGAGAAAACAATTATTTGCAAATTTATGAAACCAATTTGACTAGAATTACAAGTGTAAGAATACTAATATCTAACAACATCTAATGTTGGTGAGGATTTAGATAGGTTCATTCAATATGGTTAAGCATGAAACTTGCACAATATTTTTCAAGCTATTTGGTAATATCTACTTTTTGAAGTTTTGTTTTTGTTCTAAATAAGGTCTCACCATGTAGTCTGGGTAGCCTACGAATTTTTATTCATCTCAGGCTGATCTAAAACTTGGCAATAATCCTCCTTGTCTTATGAATGCTAGAATTACTGGAGTACAACATAATACTCAGGCTATATCTGTTTATTTTAAATGTATTCTTTCATTAAGAATTCCCCCCACCTTGACTGCAGAGACAGTTGAACAATCTAAGAGCACTGGCTGCTCTTCCACAGAACTGAAACTCAGTTTCCATCACCCACAACAGGTACCACATATTAGCCTAAAACTCAAGCTCCAGGTGATGATGCCCTCTTCTTGCCTCTCAGACATATAGCATATATACTCTGAGACAAGCATATACATAGACTTTAAAAAACAAAAACAAAAACAAAAAACAAAACTAACTACACTTGCAAAAATTTACCCAGCACTTATTATTCACTTACAGATATAAATGTACAAAGTATGTATGAAACAAAAACAATTGCAAGAGTGAAACACTGAATCAATCTAAGTATCTAATCCATAGAGCACATATCCTATACCAAACCATATACTGCTAGAGTCCTATGAAGAAAGACAAACAAGGAACCATATCCAACTTAGATTGTTAACTAATAAGAGTGGTTGTCTAGATCTTTTGGAATGTGTAATGCCACCAATCCTCATGTTTAGTGTAATATGGGCTTGCATTTAAAATTTTTCTGTAAACAGGATCTAGAGGGATGCCTGAAACTAAAAACACTTGCTGTTCTTGTGGATCAATTCCCAATACCCACATGGCAGTTTACAACTACCTGTAACTCCAGTTTTGGGATATCTATCACTCTCTTCAGGCTTCCAAAGGCACTGTACACATTTGGTACACAGACACAAGCAAACATCCATATATAAACAAATTTTTAAAAGCACTTTTTTGTAAATATTAGTTTTAAAGGAATCTCATAGGCAGGCATAATGGCAATCACTGTAATCATAGCACATGTAGAGGACAGTCACAAATCTGAGGCCAGCTTGCTATATACAGCCAGTTCTAGGTCAGCTAGCGTTACAAAATGAGGCCCTCTCTCAAAAATCCAACTGGACTCCATAGTTTAAGATTTTTCAATAATCCCAGGACCAAAGTTTTGATAACTGTTGCATTGTGTTAGTTGTATATTTTAAACATAATTCCAATTCCTATCCCCCCCAAAAAAATCCTTTTTAAACTGAGTAGTTTGAAATATGAATTAGAAGGGTTCAACAACTGATCTACCCACAAACAATAAACTCATTAAAAGTCTCCTTCCAACCTAACAGTAAAAAGGGTGTAGATGCACAATGCACCCTTCTGCCAAATACAACTATAGTTAAGTTTACAGTCTCCCTCTACTAACTTTAAAAAAAAAAAAAAAAGTTAAGTACAATTTTAATATTGGGAATTACTTCCTTTTTATTTCTAAAGTTAAAAAACAAAACATCTTGTCTGTGGCAGCTCCAAGACTTTATAGTCTGCCCATGTTCTCCTCAACTCTCCAGGAAACCGTATTCTAATTTCTCCTCTTCTCTTCTTTAGGACTAATGAAATTCACAGAACGGCCCTACCTGGAATTTGTTGAACTGCACAATATAGGTGTACCCAGTGACTGCTATTCAAAAGTCTTGGATCACAGAGCCTCTAAATTAAGGTTTGGTACTTCAATGGCAATCTGTGTTTCTTTCTCTGTACCCTTCTCTTATCAGTATCTTTTTTTTTTTTTTTTTCCCTGTATCACATATATCTTGTTATTATCCTTCCCTATTCTCCAAGTTCAGATCCTGTTATACCCAGCAGCCACAAGGCTGGTGGCTGCAAACTAGCCCAGGCCTTTCTCTAGAACAAAGATCAAGACCATGCAGAACTATCTGAACTATCCAAAGAGTTCTGAAAGTCCAGAGTATCGGGCAACATATCTTCAGTATGCTAGTCAGTGAACCAACCTCTCCAACAAGCTCCCAGGTGATGCTGGATGGACGTCCACTTTGAGAACCATTGCTCTGATGCTCTCAATGGGACACAATTGTCTATAATCTATAATCTCCTGGCTCTACTCAGTCCCTTTCCATTGTTAACAGTGGCAAAAGTTGATCAACTCAAACTAGCTTCTTTATGAGTAAAATAGAGACAGTAAGCATATTCCCAAATGATGGAAAGGAAGGAAGGAGGGAGGGAAGAGGGAAGGGGGAAGAAAAGGAAGGGAAAGGAAAAAAAAAAAAAAAAAAAAAAAAAAAAAAAAGGCGGGTAAGCAAGAGGATGTACTTCATCATCCGAGTAAATAAACATCTTTTATCAGATCCTCCATAGCATTAAAAAGTTGATTCTCAGCAGAAACTACCCTTCAACCATGTGATCCCATTTCTACTTATTTTCCTCAGAGGTTAAAAACTGGCAACCAGTAGCACACATATATAATCTCAGCACTTAGGAGGCTGCAGCAGGAGGTCCATGAGTTGAGGACAACCTAGGCTACAACACAGGAGTTCAAAGCTAGGCTCAGTCTAAACAACAAAATACGATCTTTAAAAAAAAAATCCCCCATTTTAAATATAGGAGGTAGAGATTTTTTTTTTCTATCTGAAAAGGACTCAAAGCAAAAACAAGAAACCAAAAACTGTCTCTTTCATGTGACATGTGCAACTCTCAACAGGAGATTAAAAAAAAAAAAAAAAAAAAAAAAAAAAAAAAAGAGCCATATAGTCCCATGTTGTCATGTTACTTGAGAGGAAATGCCCACCATCAGTCAAGAAGCATTCAAATACTTCAGCTCACTTACCTTGGTCATGCCTCCTGTCTGTGCCGTGTTCAGTCCAGCATGGCTAGCCATTTGTGGGGAAACCTGTGTCAAGGTCTCAGCCAGCACACTGCTTGTGGCTCCCTGCATAGCTGGAGCAGGGTAGGGCATTCCAGCTCCCCTTCCTCTTCCAGCAGCCCCAAGAGATCCATTCATGACTTGAGCCTGCCCTTGCTGAGCCTGATTCATTAAGCTATGGCCAGAGTTACTATTAAGAAGGCCTGGGTGGGTCTGGTTGAAGTTAGCATTCATGCAGATCCCTGGTCCAGTCTGTGATGTGGCAGGGCTACTGGTCACCAGCCCCACTTGCTTTTGTGCTTGTGGATTCAGTGCTTGGGAGGCTGGGGGGGTGGGCCCAGAGGTGCTGGCTGCCTGTTTGGGCAGGCTAGGGGTTGATGAGTCTCCCTGGTTCAGAGGGCTCTTGCCCATGGCACCGAGGCTGGCCATGTTTGTACTGTTCGGCTGCCCATGAGCCTGCTGGCCACCAAGGCCCTGTTGCACAGGGCTGCTGGCACTCACATTTCCTATCCCTGGGTTGATGTTAGAGCCACTGCCTCCTCTAAGAAGCTCCGACAGTTGTTTATGTTTGGATGCAGCATCTGGAACAAGGCTCCCACTGTTTAAAAGGCTTAATTCTCCATTAGGGATCAGCTCATCAGGAAGATCATTTTCCAAGTCAAACAATGATCCGAAATCTAGAAATTAAACAGAAAGGGAAATGAGAATCTAAGAAAACACAACAGCTCTCCAACTGTCATGTTACTGTGATCTTAATCTAATAGTGCATTTCATATAAACTACTAGTACATCTTAAGAGTAATACCAAGCCAATCTGAAACATCATTTGTGGAGATTAAAAAAAGGAAATTTTTTTCAAATTCAGAAAAAGGGAACATTAAACAATAATGAAAAAGGGTCAGTTCTTTTTTCTTTTTTTAAATCATATCCTAAAACAGTATGGTATTTAGAAAATACTTACATATACAAATTAAAGAATAAAGAATCTTTTAAAATTCATTAAATTTAAATGTTAAGTAAGATGCTTTTAAGAATGCAAGTATGAAAACAGGTGTGGTGGTGTATACATGTAATCCCAGCAATTGGCAAACAGAGATGGGAGAATCAGAAATTCAAAACCAATCTTGGTAATTATAAATATATAAAGCTCAAGGCCATCTTAAGCTACATGAAGTCTCTGAACCAAAAAGTAAAAAGCTGAAACCAGGCAGTAGTGGCACAAGCCTTTAATCCCAGCAGAGGCAGGCAGATCTCTGAGTTGAAGACCAGCCTGGTCTACAAAGGACAGCCAGGGCCACGGGACAGAAGAAAGGAGGGCAGGGAGGGAGGAAGGGAGGGAAGGCGTGCAAAAAAGTAACTAGATGAGTTCTATAAATAGGAATTTAGGGGAGATTAAATTCAACCTGAGTAATTGCATATTTGAAAATTAAACTATTTTTTAAATATATTTGAAAATGTCATTTGTTGAAGATACATGTATAAAAATATAGAAACTATAAACTGATTAAAACATAGTCAAAGATTCTTGCACTTCATGAGAAGGATTACCACACAGGAAAATGAGCACAGTGACTCCTGGTATAAATGGGCAAGGCATGTAAGCAGGCATCCATGCCCAAAGAATATAAAACAGCAAAATAAAACAGTCTTCTTGGTTAGCAAACAAACTAAAATACAAGCAATTTCCTTTTTCTGGCTCCTTTCAAAGTAACCATCCTCTGCAGCATAATCTTACTACACTGGCAGCCAGCACCTCTATTCTTTCACTCTTCAACCTCCAGTTAGCAGCCTGTCGATGCATGTGCAAAGAATGACATATGCAAACTATGTCCACCACAGTGTTATTTGTAACAGGAAGGAACAAAGAAACCAAAAACAATCACACCCAAAAGCAATTCAACCTAATGAGATTCAACAGATGAGACTCCCTGCACCAGAACCCCAACTCTACATTACACTGTACAACTTTGGGTTATCTTAGTCTGTCTGTACTTCAAAGTCTCCTTATCTGGGAGACAACAATAATGACTCCCTACACTAATAGGGGGTGTTCTGGATCCTAGACGAATTAATGAATGGAAATCACTGAGGTCTGTGGGTGATATGAACTTAACAAGAATTAGCTATTACAGCCAGGTGGTGGCGGCACACACCTTTAATCCCAGCACTATTAGTTCCAACAGCTAGGGCTACACAGAGAAATCTTGTCTCAAAAATAATTAACTATTACTATTATAAAACTTAATAAACACTCATATACTACAAAATATTTCAAGTAATTTTGATTACTATAGAGAAATGTAAGAATGTATTATGAGAAAGTATAAAAATGGAAAAAGGTATGCAAATGGCACACCCATGAGATTAGATCAATGACTGGAATGTAACTGGTCAAAAATAAAATTAGTCACACTAGTAAAACAGTGAGGCTGTGAAGGCAATGTGAAGTTTGGGCAGTTTTCTTTCTTTAAAAACTGCCACCTGCCATCCCTTTAGAAATTTAAGAACTTTCTTTCCAGAATAGCAGACAATACTTTCTACCTGTCAAATCCTCTCCTACCACCACCAGCTTTCACTGTAGTCTGGTGATGGAATGTTTTACATACCATGTATGAGATCCTGAGTTTGATCTCCACCACAGCAAAGAAGGAAAATTTCACAATAAGCCCCCTCCACCACAGGCAATATTTTCTGTGCTGCCTCCTGACTGCTTCCCCATCCATCCATCCATCCCCCCCTCTTCTTCCCCCCATCTCTCTCTCTGCTTCCCCATCCATATCTCTCTCTCTCTCTCTCTCTCTCTCTCTCTCTCTCTCTCTCTCTCTGGGGGTTCATTTTAAATTGTGTGTATGTGGCAGAAAGTGAGGGGTACACCATTGGTGCAATGCCTGAGGGGAATAGAGGAGAGCTAGAAGTTGTTAGCCACTTGAAATGGGTATTTGGAGCTAGACTCCTCTGTAAGAACAGTACCCATTCTTAACTGAGCTATCTCTCCAGCCAACTGTTTTGCAGAGGAGGATCCTTCATATGGGATACCTCTTCAGGGTAACTGGACTGTCAATTTCAAGAAGAGAATCTGGTTCTGGAAGGGCAGACAACCCAGAAGTTTCTCTTGACTAGTCAGCACTTCTTAAATCTCCTGTTTTCAGTGTAGCTCTCCTCAATCCTTGAGGGAGGAAAGGAACTTTCATCCAAACCAGGAAGTCAAGTCTGACAAAATTTGGTGTCCTTATCTGCCTGGAGTGGAATGAGACCATGCCAGACACTGGATCAGCAAACATGACCTAAGAATTTTCCTATGGGCTCTTTTAAGAATCTCAAGCACTCATCCCCTGAAAGGAGGAGGCAAGAGTGAAGAATTGAGGGCAGATAGTGGGGGAGGGGGGTAGGTGTTTAAGTAAATGTATAGGGCCAAGTCAGGACCCCTGTTTGAGAGAAAATAATGGAAAAGTTGAACCCAGGAATTCAGATCCCCACTTAACACCTAGCCACATGTCCTTGGGGCAAACTGCTTTTTTCTTCATCCTAAACCCCTCACCTGCAAAACAGAGATAGCTACATGCTAGAGGTTTGTTATGATAAAAGTTGGAGAGCATTTATAAGATCCTGAAGACAACTAGGTGTGGTGACACACACCTTTAATGTACCACACTCAGGAGGTAGAGGCAGATGGACCTCTGTGAGTTCCAGGACAGCCAGGTATACAGTAAAGCCCTGTCTAAAAAGTAAACAAATACTTATGTACAAATTCAAAATCCACTCTAACCATTTCTTACCTTTAATATTTACCCACCACTCTACCACTCAACAATCAGACCAGTTTTCATTTACATAGTATTCTACTTCTTATCAAACACACAAACACTTTTATAATTGTGAACAGGGTCTTTTCCCTGATAATTAGTTTCAATTTTTACTAGCTTGTTAACATTTGTCTTTCTTGATCACTTTTATCATCCATCCAAACACATTTAACAGCTGTTTGGGTGCAGCTAGAGTTAACAACAGTTACTTCCTCATCTACAAGTCAAATACAAGAACCAGTACAACTAAATGTCCTAGGCATGGCTGCTTTTTGTTTTGTTTTGTTTGTTTTTGATTTTTGTTGTTTTGAGACAGCTTCTCACTGTGTACTCCTGGCTTGCCTCAAACTCACAAAGTAGATATGTAGACCAGCCTACTAATCTTAACTCACAAAGATCTGCCTGGCTCAGCCTCCCCTATGCTGGCAAGCTCAGGGTGTGGCTCTTCTAAAAGACAGATGGTCTGCAGACAAACCACCACCCATGTTCTCACCACTTTTCCCTATTCTCTAATTTAAAAAATCAAAAGGAAGCAAAGACAATGAGCCAGGACACCATAACATAGCACACCTAGCTTTCTGCATACCACAGTATCACAACAGTGTGTTGAGTAACAACAATCTAACCCATCTGAAGTCCCAAAGGGTCAGCTCAGGGATACCACTTCCAATCCCAGACAGAGTCTCTCATCTTCTCTGCCAATCACCAGAGCCCTGGGAGAATGCGAAGCTGAAACTGCACAGACAGGGGCACCCTTCTTCCAGGGCTTAGCCTTAGCAGAAGCCAGGCCACACATCAAATACCAACACCTTCTGTTACACTTCAGGGTTAGGGTTGAGACAAGAATGTTCCAGATGCTGAGGCTTCCTGAAATCCATCTCTTTAAATAAGCCAATATGCTAGAAAATGAGTTTCTCCATTTCCACTGAACCACTGTGAAGCAAAGGAGGTAACAATGTGGAATAGGGAAGTGTACGGACTTAAGAGAAAGCTATGCTATGGCCAAGCAGAATAACAAAGGATGCTTCCCTGGTAGCTGAAAAACTCAAATCAAGAGTCTTGAAAACCTTGCTCAGGTACCAACCACCCACTTCTGAATGACCAAAGATAAATTACCTGATGTAAGCTGTGAGCCAGAAGAGGTGGGTAGACATCTGTAATTCCAGCACTTAAAAGGCTGATGCAGGATTGCAAGTTCCAGAACAGTCTGGGCTACAGAGCAAGATTCTGTACAGAAGAGCCAAAAACAAAACCCAAAGCTAGCTAGAGAGGAAGAGGAGAAATGTTGGGGGAGTGGGGGTGGAGAGTAGGAAGGAAAGAGGAGTGAAGGAAGATAACCAAGACAGAGACACCAGAATCTCAAATTTAACAATGAACTAACTACTGCCAGACACTAAAAGGGGGGGGGTGGCGCAGATCAATTCACACAATCAACCACCAGGATTAGCGAAGCACAAAGACCTGTTACTATAGTCTTAGCTACTTGGAAGAACCAACAAAGTGAGACTGTTCTTAAAAAGACCCAGGTATAGAAATATACAACTCTAATCCAAGTTACTCAGAAGGCTGAGGCAGAATCGAACGCTCAAGGTCAGCCCAGCCAGTTTATCAAGTTTTAAAATATATTCAAGGTCCTGGGTTAAATTCTTAGAACCCCAACTAACAACAAAAAACAGGTAAGTGGCTGAATCATTGTGTGTTGCCAATAATATCTGACAGAGGTTTCAAATGCACCACCAGTCCAAAAAAAAAACCATACAAAATACATGCCTTCTTTGGGTTTTCTAAAATACCCTCTTTTCTTGCCAAATACAGCATACATTGGGAGGTGTGAACAGCCAACACTACATATGACCCTATTGCAAAACTCAAAA